CAAAAATTCCTGAAAATTGCAAAAATTGCAGAAATTGCAAAAATCGCAGAAAAGACTGAAAATAGCAAAAATTCCTGAAAATTGCAAAAATTGCAAAAATTCCTGAAAATTGCAGAAATTGCAAAAATTACTAAAAATTGAAAAAATTGTAAAAATTCCTGAAAACTGCAAAATTTCCTGAAAGTTGCAAAAATTACAAAAATTTCTGAAAATTGCAAAAATTGCAAAAATTTCTGAAAATTGCAGAAATTGCAGAAATTTCTGAAAATTGCAAATATTGCGAAAATTCCTGAAAATTGCATAAATTGCAAAAATTCCTGAAAATTGCAAAAATCGCAAATATTCCTGAAAATTGCAGAATTTCCTGAAAATTGCAAAATTTCCTGAAAATTGCAAAAATTGCAAAAATTACAAAAATTACTGAAAATTGCAAAAATTGCAAAAATTCCTGAAAATTGCAGAATATTGCAGAAATGCCTGAAAATTGCAAAAATCGCAAAAATGCCTGAAGATTGCAAAAATTGCAATTATTCCTGAAAATTGCAAAAATTGTAAAAATTCCTGAAAATTGCAAAATTTCCTGAAAATTGCAGAAATTGCAAAAATTGCAAATATTCCTGAAAATTGCAAAAATTTCAAAAATTCCTAAAAATTGCAAAAATTGCTGAAATTGCAAAAATCGCAAAAATGCATGAAAATTGCAAAAATTGCAAAAATTCCTGAAAATTGCAAAAATTCCTGAAAATTGCAGAAATTGCACGAATAGCAAAAGTTGCAAAAATTCCTGGAATTTGAAAAATTTCTGAAAATTGCAAAAATTCCTGAAAATTGCAGAATTAGCAATAATTCCTGAAAATTAGAAAAATTTCTGAAAATTGCGAAAATTCCTGAAAATAGCAAAAATCGCAAATATTCCTGAAAATTGTAAAAATTGCAAAAATGCCTGAAAAATTCCTGAAAATTGCAAAAATTCCTGAAAATTGCAAAAATTGCAAAAATGGCAGAAATTGCAAAAATTCCTGAAAATTGGAAAAATTCCTGAAAATTGTAAAAATTTCAAAAAATCCTGAAAATTGCAAAAATTTCAAAAATTCCTGAAAATTGGAAAAATTCCGAAAAATTGTGAGAATTCCTTATTTCCTGAAAATTGCAAAAATCGCAAAAATGCCTGAAAATTGCAAAAATTGGAGATATTCCTGAAAATTGCAGAAATAGCAAAAATTGCAAAAATTACTAAAAATTGTAAAAATTCCTGAAAATTGCAAAATTTCCTGAAAATTGCAGAAATTGCAAAAATTACTAAAATTACTGAAAATTGCAAAAATTGTAAAAATTCCTGAAAATTGCAAAATATTGCAGAAATGCCTGAAGATTGCAAATATCGCAAAAATGCCTGAAAATTGCAAAAATTGGAAATATTCCTGAAAATTGCAAAAATTGCAAAATTTCCTGAAAATTGCAGAAATAGCAAAAATTGCAAAAATTACTAAAAATTGTAAAAATTTCTGAAAATTTCAATATCTCCTGAAAATTGCAAAATTTCCTGAAAATTGCAGAAATTGCAAAAAATTACAAAAATTACTGAAAATTGCAATAATTGCAAAAATTCCTGAAAATTGCAAAATATTGCAGAAATGCCTGAAAATTGCAAAAATCACAAAAATGCCTGAAAATTGCAAAAATTGCAATTATTCCTGAAAATTGCAAAAATTGCAAAAACTCCTGAAAATTGCAGAAATAGCAAAAATTGCAAACATTACTAAAAATTGCAAAAATTGTAAAAATTCCTGAAAATTGCAAAATTTCCTGAAAATTGCAGAAATTGCAAAAATTGCAAATATTCCTGAAAATTGCAAAAATTGCAAAAAATTCTGAAAATTGCTGAAATTGCAAAAATTGCAGATGCCTGAAAATTGCAAAAATTGCAAAAACTCCTGAAAATAGCAAAATTGCAAAAACTCCTGAAAATTGCAGAAATTGCACAAATAGCAAAAATTGCAAAAATTCCTGATATTTTGAAAAATTTCTGAAAATTGCAAAAATTCCTGAAAATTGCAGAAATAGCAAAAATTCCTGAAAATTAAGAAAAATTCCGAAAATTGCAAAAATTCCTGAAAATAGCAAAAATCTCATATATATATTCCTGAAAATTGTAAAAATTGCAAAAATGCCTGAAAATTGCAAAAATAGCGAAAATTGCAAAAATAGCGAAAATTTCAAAAATTCCTGAAAATTGCAAAAATTCCTGAAAATTGCAAAAATTCCTGGAAATTGCAAAAATTGCAAAAAATCCTGAAAATTGCAAAAATTGCAGAAATTGCAAAAATTCCTGAAAATTGGAAAAATTCCTGGAATTGTAAAAATTTCAAAAATTCCTGAAAATTGGAGAAATTCCAAAAAATTGTGAGAATTCCTTATTTCCTGAAAATTGCAAAAATCGCAAAAATGCCTGAAAATTGCAAAAATTGGAAATATTCCTGAAAATTGCAAAAATTGCAAGAATTCCTGAAAATTGCAGAAATAGCAAAGATTGCAAAAATTCATAAAAATTGAAAAAATTCCTGAAAATTGCAAAAATTCCTGAAAATTGCAGAAATTGCAAAAATTGCAAATATTCCTGAAAATTGCAAAAATTGCAAAAAATTCTGAAAATTGCTGAAATTGCAAAAATTGCAGATGCCTGAAAATTGCAAAAATTGCAAAAACTCCTGAAAATAGCAAAATTGCAAAAACTCCTGAAAATTGCAGAAATTGCACAAATAGCAAAAATTGCAAAAATTCCTGATATTTTGAAAAATTTCTGAAAATTGCAAAAATTCCTGAAAATTGCAGAAATAGCAAAAATTCCTGAAAATTAAGAAAAATTCCGAAAATTGCAAAAATTCCTGAAAATAGCAAAAATCTCATATATACAGGGTGTTTCAAAATTCAGTATCAAGATTTTAGGGGCGTATTTTTCAGGTCAAAATAAGACGTTTTTGTCCATAAACATGTGTCCGCAAACGCTTCGTTACCGATCTACAGAGCGTTAAAGTTAAACAAATACACGATGAGACTTCCACCAACTTTCAAATAATGTCAAATGCTTCAAAACAAACCTAAACGTCAAAATGAAAATAGCAGTCAAAGCCCACTAATTCGCTTTTTCATTGTTCCGTTGAAAATTTTGATTAAATGTAGCGAATCACAAAATTGATTTTACTTTTTTCTCGATAACGATCGCAGATGCGTGAAAATTACAAGAGACAAAAAAATTTATAAACAAAACAAAGAATTCATTTCGTATCTCAGAATTCACCAGCGGCGCAACACAAAAAAGTTTATGGGGTAAAAAAGGGCTTGACCCCTGAAAAAAATATCTCCCTGTAGATTCTCACAATCACTCGGCATGCTGGATGATGTAAGCCCTAGAACGTAACCTACATTCCAAATTTGATCTTAATATCTCAAAAATTGAAAGAGCTATGAAGAAAAAAATCAAAAAATCTTGAAACTTTAACGCTCTGTAGATCGGTAACGAAGCGTTTGCGGACACATGTTTATGGACAAAAACGTCTTATTTTGACCTGAAAAATACGGCCCTAAAATCTTGATACTGAATTTTGAAACACCCTGTATATTCCTGAAAATTGTAAAAATTGCAAAAATGCCTGAAAATTGCAAAAATAGCGAAAATTGCAAAAATAGCGAAAATTTCAAAAATTCCTGAAAATTGCAAAAATTCCTGAAAATTGCAAAAATTCCTGGAAATTGCAAAAATTGCAAAAAATCCTGAAAATTGCAAAAATTGCAGAAATTGCAAAAATTCCTGAAAATTGGAAAAATTCCTGGAATTGTAAAAATTTCAAAAATTCCTGAAAATTGGAGAAATTCCAAAAAATTGTGAGAATTCTTTATTTCCTGAAAATTGCAAAAATCGCAAAAATGCCTGAAAATTGCAAAAATTGGAAATATTCCTGAAAATTGCAAAAATTTGCAAGAATTCCTGAAAATTGCAGAAATAGCAAAGATTGCAAAAATTCCTAAAAATTGCAAAAATTCCTGAAAATTGCAAAAATTCCTGAAAATTGCAAAAATTTCTGAAAATTGCAAAAATTGCAAAAATTCCTGAAAATTGCAAAAATGCCTGAAAATTGCGAAAATTGCAATTATTCCTGAAAATTGCAAAAATTGCAAAAATTCCTGAAAATTGCAGAAATAGCAAAAATTGCAAAAATTCCTAAAAATTGCAAAAATTGTAAAAATTCCTGAAAATTGCAAAAATTCCTGAAAATTGCAAAATTTGCAAAAATTTCTGAAAATTGCAGAAATTGCAAAATTTGCAAAAATTCCTGAAAATTGCAGAAATTGCAAAAATTGCAAAAATTCCTGAAAATTGCAAAAATTGCAGAAATTGCAAAAATCGCAAAAAAGCCTGAAAATAGCAAAAATTCCTGAAAATTGCAAAAATTGCAAAAATTCCTGAAAATTGCAGAAATTGCAAAAATTCCTAAAAATTGAAAAAATTGTAAAAATTCCTGAAAACTGCAAAATTTCCTGAAAGTTGCAAAAATTACAAAAATTTCTGAAAATTGCAGAAATTGCAAAAATTTCTGAAAATTGCAGAAATTGCAAAAATTTCTGTAAATTGCAAATATTGCGAAAATTCCTGAAAATTGCATAAATTGCAAAAATTCCTGAACAAAAATTTCTGAAAATTGCAAAAATAGCAAAAATTCTGAAAATAGGCAATGTCTTGCAGAGATAGCTATAACTAGGGTCCCTTGATGGAAATTGACGTTGAAGTCATCTTAACAGGGTACGGACAGATCATAGATGCATTCTTTTTTAATGATCTAGAGACTTTAGTTTTGTCTACTGGCATCCCTGACATTGCTGTCACGTCACGTCTATGGGCGCTACAGAAAATCATTCAACATTTTAATACCACCGGGAAACCGGAAAACGGTAGCCCTCATTCAATGTCGCCCATTAATTCGTTATTTTTTTACAGTGCTTACCTAATGCTGGTATCTCGAAGACGATTATCAGAGCATTGACGATATCATCCTGATTATCCTTCTCCTTCCTCGTGGGCAGCTCCATCTGCAGGTTGCCGGCCAACGTGACCAGGGCATTGACGAGAGCGTTCTCGAAAATGGACGATTTCAATTTGAAGAGGGCAGCATAGGCCCTACGGACGGCCGGTATGTCCACCGGTAGGATGCTGTTTTTGCTGGCCTCGGCGCAACTGTCCTCGTCCTTGTCTTTCTCCCCTTCCAGAGTCCTGACTTCCTCTTTTCTCAGACCCGATAAGTCACCTTGATCAATTGAATAAAAATAGAAGGAAATAAAAAAATGAAAATGATGAACCCTGCAGTGGTATATTTTTTAAATTTGGCGCTGTCGCGCGATCCCTCCTGTAGCAAAACAGGTGTTGCGTGTTTTCAACAAAGCACAACCAACACCTCCAATTTGGAATCGTGTCACAGAACCTATTAATGTCCACTACTTATCATTGTTATATAGTTATCGGTTTGGCAAGCCTGTTTCTAAACTTTTCGTTGATATTCTCACCTGGTGCTTAGGCAGCCAGTTATACCCGCAGTGCATTGAGGGTCGCATACCTTACAGGATATCTAATATCGGCCTTGACCGCGAGAAATTGAATAAGGACAGGTAAATACAAGAACTAAGCACTATACAGGGTGTTTCAGTTTTTTGTAGCAGGACTTTAACAGCTTGAAGAAGACAATTTTTCAAGATGAAAATCTCATACAAACATATATGCGTGGAAGCTCCATTTCTGATTTACAGGGTGTCAAATTTTCAGATTTTTTTTATGTTTTTTGAATTTTCTCCTACAATTTTCAGAATAATTGATTGAAATTTAGTACACCTAAAACTTCAAAAACTTGAAACTTGAGGCTATTGAGCGTTTAAGAATACCTACAGGGTGATAGACTTACAGGGGTCGTACCCAATTTAACCCTGTAGAACTTTTTTGCGTGTCGTCTCTGCTTCCAATGGGACATAGATTCAGATTGTCCTTTCGATTTGGAAACTTTTTGCCTCTACGTGAATTTTTCGAAAACTGTATGGATCTCGAGATAAATGCCAAAAATAAATTACTTGTTATAAAACCGTTATTTCTCGAACACACTTATTTGACATTTCTCAAACATTTTATTGGAAAATCGAATGACCAAAACCTTCCATACCAAATGAAATTCAGTTGCAAAATTAGATCGAATTTTTTGAACACGATTATAATTAAAACTAGGAAAAACAAAGAAAAAATGTTTTTATTTTGAAAAAACTTCTCTAACTGGATTGCAAAATCTGAAATTGTATTGTAGAAAATTCTAGGACACCCTGTATAACTGAAACTGGTTAAACTTTCGATATCAGGGACTGTTCGCTTCTAACGTGAGTTTTAATAATTTAATCTCGTGAACGGCAATTCTAATTTTATCAGTAGGTACCCTTAGAAGTGGTTCGGACTCAACTTTTATTCATCTCTAAATCCATACAGTTTTCGAAAAACATACATGGGAGCAAAAAGTTTCCAAATTGCAGAGACAATCTCCAATGTCCCATTGAAAGCAGAGGCAGCACGCAAAAAAGTTCTACAGGGTTAAATTGGGTACGACCCCTGAAAGTCTATCACCCTGTAGGTATTCAAAAACGCTCAATAGCTTCAGATATTGGGTTTTTGAAGTGTATTAGGTGTACCAAATTTCAATCAATTATTCCGAAAATTGTAGGAGAAAATTCAAAAAACATAAACAAAATCTGAAACCTTGACACCCTGTAAATCGAAGCTCCCACGCATATATGTTTGTTTGAGATTTTCATCTTGAAAAAATGTCTTCTTCAAGCTGTTAAAGTCCTGCTACAAAACACTGAAACACCCTGTATATAAAAACTATACTTTTTTATAAATTGTTGGTTTCTCTTACACCGAACTTCTGAGCAAGCGGGGCAAGGGGAAGGCCACATCAAAGGGAATTGCTGGGGACCTTATGGATCCAAGTATAACAAAGTTATGTTTAAACCTGTGCCTGCATATTTTGTAGTGCCTGACCATTGTCGTTCATAACACACCACTTGAGCAATAAAACAGCCTCCAAACCATTGCCTGTCTTTCTATACCCAAAAATCCCCATGACGAAACCATAAATTACAACCTCTGAGATCGAAGATTCACGCTCCTTTACTAGCTTGACCTTTATTGGGTCTCTTCACGCACTGTAAACCAGATAGCGCTAGCGTTAGCACGTGCCAAAAGTTATTCAGCTAGGAAAAAATCAGGTTCGCACCAGATAGCGGTCAAGAAGCTATCTGGGACAGCCCTGCACTGATGAGAGTCAACAGCTCGAAACCAGTCTGCCGGTAGTCACGCGTTCCTGAACCACTTAAGCGCAGCTCGGCGTTTAGGGAGGAAAAACTTGCGATTTTATTCGTGTATACGAATTATTGCATACATTTCGGGGGGATGTATTACAATGTTCTGCGTGGCATATAACCAGGAAAGTAGTTGTTTTTCTCTTGTTATCTACCATTTTCGTTCATTAAATGAACTATTGTGGTAATGACTTTGAGTTTCTCTCTTTGTGACGAAGCCAGTAGTTATTGTTTTCGGACTGTCAGACCGACGTCACCAGCGAAGTAACAAATCTGCTATATTATTATCTTGTCTTTTAATTCATTTCATGTGAAATTGAGCGTATTCAATCAAAGGTATATATTCTTATACAAATGGAATATTATTTCTAACAGAAATCATCCATATTAGGAGCAGAACAACCAAGAATTCTACATCCCATGAAAACATGTATGACTGATGAAGAGGATCTTGAATTGAATTGAATTTTTTCAATGATTTGATGTGATTCTCAATGATGTTATCTTTGAGCAGAATCATATCAACTGACACTTTTTTGAAAAGGAATATTCTCAGATATAATTATGAACAAACAATAAAACATGAAAAAAATGGATATACATATATATATAAAGAGATACATTGAGAATTCGCATTCTCTATTTCTTAAAAATATCAATTCTTTCTCGGTTTATTCAACAGAAAACAACTACTTCTGGCTATATGCCACGAGGAACATTGAATTACATCTATTGTACATATACGATAAGAATTTGAAAACAAAATCTCTGAAGTAGAGAATTTGCATTCTCCTTCATATCAATATATTATGCACATAATATCATGCTGAATATTCAACAGAAAACAACTACTTTCCTGGCTATTTGTTGTTGAACATCCATGAAAAATGAAAATCCTCTGAAATTGAGAATTTACATCATTTCTCAAATCGGATAAAATAATATGATTTATTATGATATAAAAAATATAACTTACCAATATGTTCAATATTGAAATGAAAATTGAAATGTATGATGGTTATCAATTTATCATGCATTCAAAAATTACACTATTTTGATTGTTTATATTTTTTTATCACAAAAAAATATTGAATGTCTCTCAGACCGACGTCACCGCTCATGTTCCGTAAAACCACGTCACCACTGGAGGGTTTAAGGAATAAAATAGCGATAACACAAACATTGTACCAGAGATACTCTTCTAGCTTCACTTTTTGAAAATTCATTAACAAGACTTCACCAAACCAAGTTGCTTTTAAAAGTCAGAGACAAAATAAACTGCTCAAGAACTTGAAACGTGAAATCAAAAATGTTGGATAATTGTAACTTCCAGTTAATTATGGGTAAGAATCTCTAGTTATAATGAAGGAAAAAAAAAGTGATTGTATTGAAACATATTACTGTTACCAGTAGAAATCAAAGGTAAACCATATAAAAATGTTTAAAAAAAAGATTCACCAATGGATAGTCTTGAATAATATAACATATAATTAACAAATGGCATATTCTGTATGCTAAGGCATTGAAAACATACATTTTGTACTGTTCATCATATCTTTGTAATTAACTATGTAAGTCAAATTTTTCTTCTTTTCTCTTAGACTAGGCTTGAATACCAAATATCATTTCTGAACATATCTTCAAGTATTTTTTTTAAATTATTTAGACTAACAACTTGAACTGAAATTCATTGTATTTTATATGTAAAATTGTAAAAACACTAGCTGTTATGTGAACAAACTATTGGTAGGCACACAAATTGAAAAAATGTATAGTGTACCACCATGGCAAGGTAAAATGAACTGTTTTTAACTTGGTAATATATAAATTTTCACACAAACATTGTACTCTTCTAGCTTTACTTTTTGAAAATTCATTAACAACTTGTTTCAACTCAAGTTGCTTTGAAAAGTCAGACACAAAATAAACTGCTCAAGAAGTTGAATTGAAATTTGAAATCAAAAATGTTGGATCATTGTAACTTCCAGTTAATTATGAGTATGAATCTCTAAGATTTCAATTCAGTCTTATCCATGTATCATCATTCTGAGCAGTAGCATTGCTTCCTACAACTTTTCAATGAAAAATATAATTTGCATGGTGTAAAAATAGTCAAAGCTTTTGAGTAAATATCAATGACCAAAAAATTTCAGGATATGCTGTGAAAAAATGTTATCAGTGTTAGGAATGAGTTAGAGAGCTGATTTTTTTTTCATTATTTATTCTTGAATTTCATACTGCTTTCATTTTTTCTTCAATCAGTAATGATATCTCAGACTCATTCAAACGGTCAAGATTTTCAACTTATAGCTACTGACTTCAAGGCTCAGTGAGTGAAACACAGTTGCCAGCTGATGTCAAAGAACATTTGGAAATAACAGAAATTGTTTGACAATAAATATTCATAAATAATAATTTATAACTCTCCGAATATTTGGGTAGTATTCTAGTTATTTATTTTTAAGTAAATAATATATCCTTCAAACAGGTAATAGTATGAGTGTAAGATACATAGGCATTATTAATTCACAACAAAGGAGATTCAGTGTACCTGGTAATTGAAGTTTATAGCAATTATGACTGAATAGTTGTACATACAGTTGAAAAAAATACATATAGAACATATTTGAACACAGCAGCAGGATGTGCTGGTTTTGAACCCACTGAAAAAGCTAAGTGCACAATAATATATAAAACTCTCCTATTCAATACTATTTATTTGATTAAAAAATAAAGAGGGTTTATAAGCATTAGAACTTTTAATTGGAAAATATGGATATGGATGATTTAATATCACAGGATGTTTGATTCATGGAGTAATATATTGAAATTTGGATTACTTATTATAAAAAACAATCTTGATCATGATTTACTGACTCTAAATTTAAAAAAAATCGAATTTATGACATTCACATTTAATGAGAATATGCAACCAAAAAGAATTGATAAATTGAAGATACATACTATTCCATGTTTAAAACATGAAAAGCAATGTAATTGTTTGTAATATATTACTGAAATTGATGTAGTAAAGTATTTGGGAAGTCACTTAGATTGCAAGCTCAAATTGCATAATCAAATTAATGAATTGATACAAAAACTAAGGAAAACACTCTATAAATTCAGGTTACTGAGAAACATTGTCAGTAGGAATTTGATTATCTGTTTCTATTATAGGATTATAGTATTTTTCAATCTATTCTGGCTTATGGCATAATAGACTGGGGTGGTCTATATAAACAAGCATTGAAGCTACTTATATCAATACAAAAATATACCTTGAAAATTATCTTCAAAAAACTTTCTGATTATTCTTCCAAAATCCTCTTTATAACATTTTATCTGTTAATCAATTGTTTTATAAAACATCAACAATATACATAAGAAAACATTTACAAAACTATAATCATGTAAAAATATATATGACACCAAAAATAAAAATGAGGGTTGGATATCAACTGATAAATTCTCTTCAACTTTGATGCAACAACATGCCATTCATATAGGTAAAAAAATTTACAATAAATTGTCTCCTTTGAAAAAAATCAGTTTTTTGGATTAAAAAAAAAACTAAATCATGGTCAATTGAGAATTCATAAATTTAAAAAAATTTGATTAAGTATATAAAAAATACTTATGCAACATATCATGTTTCTTGGAGTCATTTTTGGATAATATAAAAATGTATTCATTATGTTGATTTTAGTCAATGAGAAAATGAATTTTAGTTCAGTGGAAGGAAAAAAAATTACATGATCATGGACAAGTGTTCAACTTTTTTGATCATGTTTATATTATAAAAAAATGTATATTATTATTAATATAGTATGCTGATATGTATGTTATTTTGAAAATGAATCTTACCTGCACTACCAAAATTATTTTGTGGCTCTGTACAAGTTGCATCTTCAGAAAAGCTTCTAGATAGATTTTCAATACTACTGAAAATTTCTCCAATTGTTCTAATCAAAGGAGAGTAGCTGTCATTGGTTTCACATTCATCAATTATATCATACAAAGATTGTTCATTCAGAAATGTAGGTGCTGGTGCTAAAAAAAAACAAATCTTATCATTTCTTGCACATTGTAAAATATGATTGTTATGCTCACCATTATTGCATTTCAAATTACTTTGTGATATGACAATATTGTTGGTAGGTACACAATTTTTCAAGGAAAGAGATGTTTCATTTTTCTGGTCCCCAATAATAGTTTCATGTTTCCTTGCTATTTTATTGGGGTGCCTTTCACATAAACGTGCATCTTGAGAGAATAAGTGAATAGCTCTAGCTGCTGCTTCATCAGGAGTCAATCCATTTAGCTAAAAAAAGGGTAAAACTTTCATCAGCTCCATGTTACCCTGCACTGTTTCAAATACTAACTAAACCACTAGATGCACAGAATTGATTATCGCAGTTTGGGTTCCCACAACCATCAGTGAGCTGGTAAAAGTATCTCTCTATAAGCTTTTTAGCAGCAGCACGTTTCATAACTTCTTCTTTATTATCTGAAGGGATAATTATTGTGTGGTTGCTGGACGATGCTTCTGGGTTACTCCTAAAAATTATCATTCCCGAATGTTTATATTTATATGAAAACAAGCAATGAAGGATGTGATCATGACATTCAATATTTACATCAACATGCTAATGATAACCTAAAAATCTGAAAATCATTGAATCACTCCAGTTTATACTAGAACAGAAACGTAGGTACACAGTAAACAGTATCATTAGCAATTTTGTACAATATTTTTACCTTGAAGCTTCGTCTGAATCAGATGATTTACTGGAAGAGCTCATAGAATTTGTTTTCAAAATAATTTATAACTAAAATATAGATTACGAATTGACCGAATCTTTCGTGAGAGCTCATTAACACATCAATATCCGCATTTGGGTACCTATCTCTTCCGAAAAGTAAATCTTTTTACTTTTTTATCAGTTTTCTATAAAATGCAGTGTGTTGACTTTTCAGTTTCAGAAATGATTAACGATTAACGTCATTTTTAGTTGTCATTTATCAGATATTGACAGATCTTATTCTTCTTCTATTTTGAATGGCTTCTGCGTTTAACCTTTGTTTCCCTTAAACAGTGGCGTAGTTTGATCAACGTTTTCATTTGTCATGACAGATCCTATTCTTCGTCTATTTTGAATGGCTTCTGCGTTTAACCCTTAACCATTGTTCCCCTTAAACAGTGGCGTAGTTTGATCAACGCTCACACGGGTGTAGGTTAGAAGAAAACATATACAGGGTGTTTCATAATGAATTGTACGCAACAATGACAGTATCCTAATCAGGCTATGTTTAGCGACAGTTCTGACCACAGTAGTCTGAATCCGACCACAACAAGCAAAGAAGTTCTGAACGAGAACCAGCAGCATATCGGTCCATCGACGCCAAGTATTGGAGGCATTTTCTATGATATATATCGCCTTCCATAATAAATATAAAGTAGGTGAGTAAGTATATATGTACTTCGTTGGTATATATGTACATACATATATACCAATTGGTCATCGACAGTACGAGAGGTCTTTCAGCCCATAAGTATGTGTAGGCTTTGTTACTAACTCCATTCACCCTCGTAGGCGCGGAGCAGCAACTGATAATTGGAACGCAACAGCGAATCGTGTGGGATCATTTCCGGTCAAGGTTACGAATATTAGAATTCATATATTGATACAAATTCACTGCTCTGCAGGGATTCGAACCCAGCGCCCTTTCGCTTCTTCGATCTAAAACATATTTGGTTGTATTATATCTTAAATTTAAAATATATTGAGAATTGAAATCATGATATATCGCTTTCCATAACAAATATATAAAATTTGGAAAAAATATTCGAAATGAATTGAATATAATAATTGGTAAATAGGAATGAAAAACTTTTATCACTGGTTTTTGGTCTAGTTTCCTCTTCTGTATAATTTTTCCGTCGATCAATAGCACGTCGCTTCTTCGATCTGAAACATAGTTGGAATTATATCTCGAATTTAAAGTATTGAGAATTGAAATCATGAAAGTTACATGGAATTAGAAACTGAGAAATATATATGAATACTTCAAATTCCGTTGGTGAAACGCGACATATTCTTCTATTACTCAAAAAATGAGCGGCACAGATAGCCAACAATTTTCTCCTAAATGAGAAACACTGTATATACCTAACCCATCAGGCGCCTACCCCGGTTGCAACGAGGGTTTACCGATGCCAAGGGTTGATACTCTCCCCTCGTAAGGGTACCTGTCATGCCTCCATTGAGACATAAAGGTGACTATCAAAAATTGTTCTATGATATATCGCCTTCCATAACAAATATAAAATTTGGAAAAAATATTCGAAATGAATTGAATATAATTCGTAAATAGGAATGAAAAACTTATCACTGGTCGCTGGTTTTTGGTCTATAGTTTCCTCTTCTGTACAATTTTTCCGTCGATCAATAGCACGTCGATTCTTCGATCTAAAACATAGTTGGTATTATATCTCGAATTTAAAGTATTGAGAATTGAAATCATGAAATTCCGTTGGTGAAACGCGACATATTCTCCTATTACTCAAAAAATGAGCAGAACAGATAGCCAACAATTTTCTCCTAAATGAGAAACACTGAATATACCTAACCCATCAGGCGCCTACCCCGGTTGCAACGAGGGTTTACCGATGCCAAGGGTTGATACTCTCCCCTCGTAAGGGTACCTGTCGTGCCTCCATTGAGACATAAAGGTGACTATCAGAAAATGTTTTATGATATATCGCCTTCCATAACAAATATAAAATTTTGAAAACATTTTCGAAATGATTTGAATATAAATTGTGAATAGGAATGAAAAACTTATCACTGGTCGCTGGTTTCTGGTCTAGGTTCCTCTTCTGTACAATTTTTTCGTCGATTAATAACACGTCGCTTATTCGATCTAAAACATAGTATAGTATTATATCTCGAATATTATCTCGAATTCAAAAAGTATTGAGACTTGAAATCATAACAAGAGTCATGGAATAAGAAACTGACATATATACATACATGGAAACTGGATGGATATGGATTTTATCAATATTTTTATCAATATTATCAGCTTTTTATTTTCGGATTTTTTCAATCATTCTGTGATTGCTTGCTGCTACCGAATGTTCGGAGTCGTTGAGCAAATATCTGGGGTATAGGGCCCCAATTTAAAGAATGATACCTGTTCACTTCATCTTACATTCTATTTAAAACTATAAACATGTTCTTATAACTATTTTACCATGCTAATTATAGCCATGTATTTGTCTTTTTCTTCTCCACGTGAGTACCAATTTGTTTTACTTGATACACCTACTTAGTGTTTCGTTGTAATTTGTAGAATAATTTCTTACTGGCTGATGATGGATACCTTTTGGGTCCGAAACATCTTCCCTCTTCTTGAATTCAGAATTAAACGTTGTGGAGACGACTTGTAGAGTTCTTATTATATTTTGACTGCTTACTAGATATTCTTCTGTTACTGAAAAAATCAACTGAACAGATAGCCAACAATTTTCTCCCAAATGAGAAACACACTGTATATACATATAGGTACCTAACCCATCAGGCGCCTACCCCGGTTGCAACGAAGGCTTGACCTGTCTTCTCGATTCTTCATGTTATTTACTGAAAGTATTTCAATTGACACGGCACTTTTCGGAAACTGATGCTCAACAGAAAATGTTAAACTAGAGTACCATATTCTCCCATTCGAGATTTTAAGGGTAACATCTACCCCTCGTAGGGAGTTGGACCAAGAAGGTTGAATATTTCTATCAAAAGTCTCTCCCTCGAGAATAAAATTGAACCATCCTTTCGATTTTTCATATTATTCACTAGATGGAAGATATTGAGGGTGGGACGTTTTCAAAATGTCGCCCTGTATATCAATCAACGGTACTAACATTATTTTGGCTCACTCGATCAGCCCTATCATTTACGGCATGACCCAGACACCCTGTATATATTGATTGAATTGGATAGAATGCCCGAATGAAAATAAAATTCGACCATTTAATTCAACGGACGCACTGTTTACCTACAAAGCCTATGTGTGATATATTTTTGAATTCAGCTTTTCATGGAGGTTCCAAAAATTTAATATTATATAGGATGTTTCATTTGAAAAAATGGTCGCGGTCGTCATCACTCAAACATCTATCACCCTATATTAAATTTTTCTTGCCCACGGCTCGTAGTTTCGATAAAAATATAATTTGCGAAATTACTAGACAACAAGCTGTCATAACAATCACCGAATATTTTCCGCTAAACAGTATCACTCATGGCATTACATAACAAAAGTTTATATGGAAAAATTGTTTTACAGGGGGGTGACAAGAAATTCAATATACGTATACAATAACAAAATTCAGGGTCTATTTTAGTATATGGTGAATCCATTGTCGTTCTAGATGACAATTTAGTTAGGTAGTTAGTACGCAAGAGCTTATGATACCTCCTCGCACTTGGTCGCCTACTAGGTTTTTTTGTTAAACCAATTGAATTGACCGTACGGGACGAAATCTACTATGCGACTGATGAATGGCTGTCGGTTGGCTTGATTCATTATTCTGATGACTAATTAGTTACGTCACCTTTCTGAACGATAAATTCCCAAAAGATAACATTTCATGTATGACTTAATTCGATATGGAAATTGCTATTTATTCAGGGTGATTCATTAGAATGGAAAATCTCGGGAATACAGATAGTAAACACCAAAATATGAAGATCTAACCCAATATACCTTATATAAATGTTGCAGATACAGGGTGTTCCAGGGAAAATTTCATTTTGAATTTTTCCTTAACTTTGGTCGAACATTTTATTTGAAATTCTGTTTGTAGTTGGCGTTGTTAGTGAATGTCATCATTGATTTCCTTATTTTTTTTTACCATCGCTTCGCTAACTTTAACATTTGAAATTATTAAAATGTCATAAATGGAACATAGATCTCTTCAAGAGCGAATAACGCAAACACCGTTAGAGCTAGACAATTTGAAAGAGAGTACATTATTTATGGACAATTGAACAGGCTTTCAGATTTCTCATCCATTTTGATCTATCATTCAATGGACAAAGAAGTATTGGTATTGGTAAAAGAAGTTGCTAATTCGTATTTCTCATGTTAGGAAAATCAGAGACTTGCAAAGTTATTGAGACATTTTGAAATAAAATTTCCCAAAGACCACCTTGTATCTCCTGAACCAGCAACATTCTTATCAGACATGTTGGGCTGAATCTTGATATTTTAGTATTTACTATCTGTAGTTCAGAGATTTCCCATTCTTAATGAATCACCCTGTATATCAAGGGAGCAGAGGTGTTAATGATAGACGGAAAAACTTGACGAGATTGAAGATGCCGAAACTTCATTGTTTCAAATGGAACACCCTGTATTTTTTCAAGTTAATGGTACCAGATCAAAATTATCCTCAATTTTTATGAAGTGTCCTAATATTGCCGATTTCGATTTAAATCGATTTATATGAAAAATCTATATTTTTCGAAAACTGACAATAACCTTAATGAATTATACAGGGTGTTCCTTAATGATATGCTAATATTCAAGGGGCCGATTATCCGACCTATTTCAAGAATTGAACTTCATATGAACGTATGCAGATTCTTTTTTGTCCACCCTGTATCTTTTCGTAAGGCAAAATTCAGTATGCTATGAGACTGAATCGGTATGAAAATTTCAAAATTTTTATACTGTGATTATCCAGGAATGGATGTCCTGAATGGAGTACTCACATGCAGACATCAAAATTTGAGGTTATTCCCTAAACCGAAGGGTTCCATCGAGTATTAACAAGAGAATT